ATTCATTTGTTATTACTATATGGCCAGCTTTCAAAGGCTTTATGACCAAAGTATTCACATTTAGTAAGGCAGTCTATATGAGACATTGGATTATATTGAGATAATTTAGAACTAGGGAGATGAAGCAAATATTTTCACCTATGCTAATCTTAAAGAGACAAACTGGATTTTATTTAGTTTCCAATAATTCAGAGTTGTTTTACTTATATGCTTTCCAATTTTTTTTCTGTATCAATGAGAAGCCTTCATATTTAAAATACATAAACCTCTTGGTTTCTTGTAAATTTAATCCTCCAGACCAAGTAGTGTTATGCCTGAGGCATGGCAACCTTAACTCAAGGAGCAGCTCTGGGTGACTTGTGGTGATTACCCTGAGTATAGTGATGTATCTATGGTGGGAATAAAGCATGTAGTGATATCCAATTTGGAAGAGGGATTGGTGGCATTCTTATACTTGGCATTCATTATTCCAATCTGTGCTTTCAGTTCAGGGATTGTTCTAGACTGTTTAAGGCATTCTCTGCCCATGGTTCCTCACAAGTTGAGCGACTCCAGTAGAGTATGGGTGTGAGCTTCTTGAATGTTCCTTCATTGAAGGAACACGTACAGAGCATGGGGTTACCAGATCAACCTGCATGACTGGGGTGAATTTAGCTTTTTTGTCTCAATCTATATGAAACCAATATCTAGTGTCCTAAAGTATCTTTAGTTAAGCAGTTGTTTATATTTTAGAACATATGTAGAGCAAAGGTAGTTTGCTTCAGGGTGGATTTTATACCATGTTTCATGTCAATCTGCTAAGGTTTTCAATAGTTAAGTCATATAGCAGAAAGTGCCAGCTTAGTGCCACAGATTCTGTGCCAGTTTGTATCAGGGTACCAGAACTGTTCTAGGCATATTTTTATTTGTTTTGCAATTTGTTTTAGAGGTCCAAAACGGGTTTTGTGCTAGAATTCTCCTCCTCCTCCCAGCAGATAAATTTGTCAATAATCGTTGCATATTGTTACCGCATTGCCATGTTATTATTCAATTGAACTACTTTTCATCTGACCATTTTTCAAGAACCCTTGATACACCCTTGCCAAAATCTGAGCAAATGATTTTACATGACAAACTTGTGGAATCCTGGCTTAGAATTGTTAGAAGTCATCTTGTCAAACCTACTTGACAGATGAATTGATAGAACAGAACACTGGAAGCTGCAAGTGGCCTTCTTTTCCAAATATCTGATGTTCATCTCTGATTACCACTGTAGTATGTTATAGTTACAGGCTGGTATGAGTACTCCACTTTACAGACATGTAAACTGAGGCTCAGAGATTAATCGCTAATCCTCAGGTAATGAAATAAATGGAGGGTTGAGTTAGGTTGGTTGTTCTGTTTTATAGTGACAGTGTTTTGAAGAGATGGGAGATTAGCTATAAATGCAGTTTTTAAAGAACATACCAGTACAGTATAATCACCATGTGACAAGTTGGAGTTCTAAAGTAGAAGTGTGATTCTATATAAGTCCAATCCCATGTGCTTTTTTTTTTTTCTAATAGAGATTTGTGGCAAAGCCATTTCAAGTAAAGGAGGTGAACAGTTGGGGTAATTCAGAGCTAGCTACAGTAGCAAACACTGAGACATTAAGTTAGAGAGCTTTGGCTCTCCAGTGTGCTAGCTGAATAAACAGCAGCAAGAGAATTGATCCAAGTGGGATCCCAAGGTAACAGAGGTTGACTGAAACTCAATGGCAAGTAAAAGATGCTAGAAGTAAGGTAGGTGGTAGTCAGACACAAGGAGTGTTGTCTTAATAGTTATAAATGTTTTATAGGAAGTGCTTATTTTAGTGTATGCTTATTGTGAAAATACACATTCAAGAGTGTCTAACAACGCTTGTTTGATTGAGATGTCTTCAACGGCAAAGACTTATCTCATGAGATTTGTATCCTTTAAGTCCAACAGCATGTATCTATATATTAGTACATGTGGGGCATTTTATAAATGTTCGTTTAATGAAGTAGAGCAGGAGATAGACATACTTCTTAGTGAATACTCTCCAAGATTCTCTGCACACTTTGGGGCTGGAGACAATAAATGAGCACAAGTAAAGAGATGCTCTGAGGGGGTGGTCCTCTCTTATTTTGATGTGATAAATGCTTTCTGCCTCATTTCTTCTTATCCAACAGTGTTGGTAGGATTAGCAAATTCTAGAGATATTTGAGATGTAAGGACTGTGACGCTCAGTTCTGTAGTCCTTGGGTGAAAATGGAAAATTCTGTGTTGTAGGGAATTGAGTCTTTTCTCCCTATGGGGTTTTCTAGAAAATCTACACACCTGCACTTTAGAAGTGTGACAAGGGGACACATGCATTGGATATGAGATTTCAGTTGGTGACTGCAGAGTTTGTCTTCTTGTAAGTCTCAAGGTGCCAAGAACCACTCTATAATAGAGATTGCTGAGATGTGGCACTGTAATTTAAGGACTCATTATGCATGAGCAAAGAACTGTCAAGTGTGTATTTCTGTGATGCTGAGAAATATTAGAGAAAATCCACCCTCTCCATATGTTCAAATTCATAGCTCTTCATTTTTTCTCACATCATCTATCCCTTGACCTATCTAGCTCAACCCTCTCTGTAGCTGCCTGTTCTGCTCCAAACATTTGTCTCTTATTCTACTCTAAGAATTTATTCAATCTTTTTTTAACCTTTCTATGCCTTCCAGCTTCCATTTGTGTTTTTTAGTACTGAAATAGGTCCCTTTTGTCTTTAGTTTCATAGGGGGAACTTCTGATCTTACTACATCATTGAATATAACTTTTGAGGGTCATTAATTAGCTTATTGGGCCCACACTTGAATGTCTTTTCTCAAGGATAATCCTTTCTCAACTATTGAATGCCACTGTTTACAACCGCACCATTTCTCACCCCTTCTCATCTCCCCCTCAGAATCATATTCCCACTTAATACCTGACTGATGTGTTTCTGGTCAACCTTTGCCTCTTTCATGGATTTATGTGTTTTTTTTTTTTATTTAAAGTGAGGTAGTTAGTTGCTTTGTTAGAATCCCTTGTTGCTTTTATGCCTCCATATCTTTTCTCTATGATAATTACTTCTATAAGCTTCCTCTGAAGGGATCATTGGTGATTGAGATTTTGCTTATTTGAAGTAAATTCACCACAGCTACCACCACATCTTCCTACAGTACTGTAGAGTAGCCTGTTAGCATGCATGAGAGCTCTCCGTAGAAAGTCTCTAAGTGCAATACCATTTGAACATAACTATGCCAACTCCCCGATATGTCTAACTAACTTCACAGCATCTTGGTGTTCCTTGTTCTTTGCAGGAGGCAGAACTCACCCTAGTTAGTGCAACAAGTGGATCCACGCATGTGCCTTCAAATCCAAGTCTTTCATTCCCCACCCTTCTTCACCCCACTGCCTGCTCACTTAAGATCCTCAAGGGAACCCTTATTTCCAAATCCTCATTTCCAAAATCGCAGCCTGTGCTCTGTGGTCTTATTCTTGCCTCTGCCCCAGAAGCCCTGTAATTCCATCCAGTCTGGCAAGTTTACCTCCTTTCCACACATGCACAGCGTTCTCTGTAGCACTAACAAAGTGCTACAACCCTGAGGGCTTCAACAGAACTTATTTTCTCATAGGTTGGAGGCTAGAATTCCCAGTCTAGCCGCTGACAGCTTTGAGTCTTTCTCATGGTTGCCTCCTTTGTCCTCACAAAATCTTCCCTTTATAAGTGTCCAGATTTCCTCTTTGTAAGACCCTAGTCCTATTAGATTAGTGCCCAGCACAATGTCCCATAAAGCCCTCATATCCACTATGAACACATGCTAGGAAACTGGGAGTTAGAATTCCAACATGAATTTCATGCAGGGGACAAAATTCAGCCCATAATACCTTCTCTGCCCTACCTCCAGCTGCCCATCTGATCTGCCCTACCTCCAACTGCCCATCTGACCATTCATTTTTTTCCTTCCTTACACTCCCTGTTATTTCTTGCTGTCCATACCTCAATGCCATCCAAACCCGCGGCGCTCCTTTTCTCATCTCCACAGGACAGTTTTCTCAGCCTCACCCCCTGTACGTATGGACTTGCTGCCTCATAAACATGTTTCACCGACCCACTTCATCCTTAGGGGCTTTCTTTTCCTCTGGCTTAGTGGAGAGTCAGGCTGTGTGTGTCTCTTACCCTTTGCACACAACCCTTGACCCCAGAGGTGCTTAAGAAATGTCAGCGTTACGTTATTGTGAATCCTTCCTCAGAGATAGCTTAGCTCAGCCTCATGTCCTAACTTTTACAGAGGGTATAAAGGGAAGTGGAATTTGTCCAGGCTATGGTGGAGAATGCAAACACTCATTCTGTTGACAGCTGGAGGAGGAGGAGGGTGGCAATGCCCATGCAGATGACACCAATGCAAACGCTGCCCAGCCATCTCACCCGCTTTCTACATAGGAAAAGCAGAGAGGGGCATTAAGGAAGCCCAGGGCATAGTAGTGGATCCATGAATTTTCTGCTAGTACAAGAAGAACAAATATTTCCTCAGGAGCTTTGGAGAAAATTCCTTTTCTTTGACCGAATGGGCTGAGAATATTAGATAAAATGCACTTCCTTCCAGAGTGTAGTGGCTGGGGTGCTAATCCCATGGAAAGGTGAACTGACCCATTGGAGGAAATCCTGTTGAGTTTTGGTGGTCCTCAGAGGCAGACAGTTGAGTGGCATGGACTAGGAGTAGAGCTATGGTGGTGTGTCCTTTGTGTTGTGTGTGAGTCCTTCTCTAGTAGACTCCTGAGGCATTGTAGGAGTCAGCTTTTCTGTCTAGGAGTGTAGGAGAGGACTGTGGAGGCCTGCTCAGCAGAGATATCTATTCCATTAAAGACAGGCCTGCTTCCCTTCTCTCCTTCCCATCTCCCTCCTTCCCTCCTCCCTTCCTTCCCTCCCTCTTCCCTCATCCCATTTCTTCTGTCTCCTCTTCCCTGCTCTCTCCCTCCTTCACTGTCAGGAAGGGCCATGCCAGAAGGGCCCATTCAGCGTATCGTGGCAGCAGCAGAGGCTAGCAGCGCCAGCAGCTACCACAGTGAGTCTGGATTTCATTTTTGGGGCTAGGGGCTGGGCAGGGCTGTCCACACACTGACAGCTTCCAGGCTTTGGAGAGGAACTTCCATGTGTAGGAGGCTGCTGACAACTTTGTTTTGACTGCCTCCTCTCATGGGGGCATTGTTTAACTTCCATGGAGGTTCCCTGCCAAAGCCATTGGTGTGCTTGTGATGTCTCATGGGGACACAGCATGGTGGGGGCGTGGGGCCATGATCTGCAAAAGAAGGTGCACATCCTGATTTAGGTGGCTGCCAGCAATTCTGTCCAGGCCTGTGTGTTGGTGGAGGCTGGAGGCTCTGCATGGATGAGGTTTGGCTGCTTTCTTGCACTTCAGGAGGTGTGTCCTTGAGTCTTGCATATACTTAGGTTGTCTAATGCTCCACAAGGGCTTCCCTTGAGGAATCTGAGAATATGATAAACAAATAGGCTGCCAGGTTGGTTCAGGAGCTGCACATTTGGTCTCACATGAATCCTGATCTGAAAAGATATTGATGTTCAGGAGAGTTATTAATGGACCACCATAACTAAGTCATCTGTTGTATTTGGGGGAGATTTCTATCTCTCACTTTAACGCCTATGGTAATTTCTGGGGAGGAGATGGACGTACAGGTAGAGGGTTCATCTGTCCTGCATCAATAGCCTTTTTCCCACTTTTTGTCTAGATTCTTTCCCTTTCTGTTTCTGGAACAATCCATAGAATCACAAAATTTATCACACTTTAAATAATCAAGCAGAAGCCTTGTTTGTCACCTGAGAAACTTTCTCTCCAGGCCAGATGCTGTACTTAAGCACTGACTGAGTGTGATGTTGAATGGAGAAGTTTCCATTTCTAATCTGTGATCCTCCGCCAATGCTTCGGTCTCATGGGCAGGTGCATGGGAACACTTTGATGATTTCATTCATTTCCCTCCTGATTTGGTTAGTGAGGTAAATTAAGCATATCTTCCCAGGTTCTCCCAGGGCCTCAGTTTCACAGGTTTCTCATTGACACTGACACTTATAGTGGAATTAAGGTTCAGGGTTTTTTTTTTCCTTGCCAGCCTTGTGTGACACTTGCAGGCAGAATGATTATAAGAACTCGGGCTCTTCTCTTACTTTCAGAAAGTCACATGTTTTCAGTTACATTAGGGGCAAAATATTGGTTTCAGGAGTTGACAAGTTTTACTAAAACCATATTGACAAAATGCATTAACTCATTCAAGCACTTATTTATTATAAATCAATCGTGTGTACTTGATTATCTCAACTTGGTCACTGCTAGAGTGAAAGGAGAAGCTATTAATAATTAAACAAGAACAAACAGCATGCCTCTCAACCTGCTCAAGTACATTAGGACAATCATGAATAGAACAGGCAAAACTCTCTGCCTTTAATTGGGGAAATCAATGATAGAGTTTAAGGTACAGAGAAAATTAAGGAGTTGCAGGTCCTTAGAAGAAAAATAAGAAAGGAGACAAAGAAGTGTGATCTGATGTTCATAGTTGTGATGATAGTGATAATGGTATGTGTGTGTGTACACCAGCACATGCATGTATGCATACATGTGTGCATGTATGTACAGTTTTAGGTAGGTGGTCAAAGCAATTGCTTAAAAATGGTAGTACATCTTTTATTTAAGTTCTCCAAGCAGGATTTTCATGGCTTTGCTAAGTTTTCTGAGATAAGTCAGAGCTGAAAAGTCTGAATACAAATGAAGATATAGATGTTAGATAACAAGAAATGAACCCTTGGTGTCCATGCATTAGCAAAGCAGGCTTTGCTTAGTAGTTAGCACAGCTTTTGTGTACCAGAGGCATCACTAAGGAGGGCATAAAAAGGGGAATAAAGTCAGTTCCTTCATTTTAGAAGCATCTTTGTAGAAAGTCCCTTAATTTGTGATTTATCCTGGCCATTTAGGACATCCTAAGGCCTCTCTTTCTTGCTTGCTTCTGGTGGTGGTGGGAAAGGTAACTTACATTTGATGAGCATCTACTCTAGATGGATACTTAGCTAGGGACTTTGAGGTAACTTATTTTAGTTTACACTGTTCCCACATGAACTTATCATAGTCCCACTTTAGGGATGAGCACACAGATGTTTAAACCCCAAAATACAGAAGAGTGGGGCCAGCATTGAAATCTAGGTTGAACAAAGTCTGAAACTTCTACCTTTATCAGTAAGTCTCAGTGGCCATCCTTGGGTACCAGTTAGCATGAAATAAGAAAGGAAGAGAAGAGCAGGACTCCATAGGCTATCCCATAGTCTTGTATATGTTCTAACTTGCATGGCTGGTTCAGAAGCTATTAGTACATGTGTTGGGGTGATGTCCATGTTGTTGCTGGCCATGCATGAAGGCAGAGAAACATCTGCTTCTCCATGTTGTGTCCTTCTTAGGAATGGGAATGGGCCTTTGAAATTTATTTTGGAAGCATGTGAGCAAGTCTTCCTGTGTGGTATCCATGTTTAGCAGGGATGAAGGAATAGAAGGGGTCTTGCTTCTCATGCATGTTCAAAGGAGGGCCAGTGCATGGTATTTTGGAATAGTTAATGGGTTGGAAGGATGCATGCAGAGTTCTAAAATTGTACAAAAGTCAATTTGATGGGGGTTGAGTGGTGAGTTGAGTTGAAGATAGTTCCAAAGTCCATACTGCCTTTGTGAATGGTATCCACAGACTCACCTCATCTGATTTGGGGATGCTATCTGTGAGAAACAGGAGTATCTGGACCATACCTCAGATGTTCTGTTTACATTTGGCAATATCAACTGTGCACCTTTGAATCTGTCTGCAATGTACTCTCATATATCTTCCAGAAAATATATCTTGCTTTATGCATACGATTGAATCTTAAGGTTCCATGCCCCCCCCCAAAGTCCCTATTTATATACATAAGCCAGACATGACATAATAAAGGAAATATGCATTTTGGGATATCACTATCCTAACTCAGTTTTCTTAAAGGATGCTGTACTTTAGCCTATAATGTTATTGTTACTTGGACTACTAGAGCCTGTTTATCCCAGGATAAGAATTCTGCCCATCTAATTATAATTAATCTTTGAACTTCTTAGCATTTTGCAGTGTGATGTCCTGAATAGGGGTCTCAGTATTTGTCAAAGCATGTCTCTTAAGTTTCATAGGAAGTCCCTTCTAGGTGGAAGTTATTCCTGACCTTTCCATTCCGGTTCCTTACCACCCCAATGGCAGCACCACAGGATGCATTCTGGGCTCTTGAACACTACTTACTGTTCTCATCTAATAATTAGACTATGGCTTCTCAATCACACCCTGGTTCTTCACCGATCATGGGCTATTGCATGATTTTGTCCTTCACTTAAGAGGTGGAGAGAAAGGCTTTGCTCATTCTCCTTACTAGGATACTCCTCTCTGACTTATGGCTCCAATTTCCTTCCCTGATATAATACAAACAAACTAGTTACCTTTCCTTCTCAACCCTTGCCAGTGTTGGTTGACTTCTCCAATTCATATATGTGGGGTTCTGTGAAGTCCCAATGGGACTTGAGGTAAAGCTGAGAAATATCTAGTTCCAGTCCTTCTTTGATTATCTATGGTCTATCCTGTCACTCAGACATACAGGGCATGCCTTAAATATAAGGAGGGGTTAGTCACAGTTAGAAAGGCTACCACCTCTTCAGACAGAAAGGCTATTTCCCTGGGTTCTTTTCTGCCCCTTTAAATGACAATTAATCTTTGTACTTTTGGTTCCCTTAAAATTTTGCACTGTGATGATGTGCATAGAGTATCCCAGAGCCAAGCAAGTCCTTAGTATAGGACAGTAAGATTTCCTTGGGATGGGGTGTGGCTCAGGCATTCAGACAAAAGATGCATAGGAGTCTCTTAGAAGATGGCAGGGGGGTTCTCAGCTATATCACCCAAAACTGCTCCAAGGGGAGTTGCCCTCAACCTTGTTTTCCCTTCTTTGATTGGAACTTAATTTTCAAAGCTGGTCAAGTGCATTTGCTCCTGTAATTGGTTTTGGAGACAAATGGCTCATAAGAAATCCATAAGTCTGGAAAAAATGGGACACCACCTCCAGTGGGTAGACACTAGTAGTGGTGGTGAGTTCTGCTCTGTCTCTGGGCTGGTGCCATCTATAGTTAATAATGCTGATGATTATTGCTGCCCTCGTCTCTCCAGCCATTTGTGGTTAACCCTGATGGAAAATAGAAATCCACCAAGATCTCCAGCCAAATGCATTGACATGCACCTGGCTGAGGAAGCTGTCACCTTGGTCATGAACTATCACAGGATGTCTTATGGATGAAAAAGCCCTGGTGTGTGGGTCTTGCCATGCAGGGCACAAGGTAGGTGAGAAGAAACAATTGGTGGTCTACCCTCATTGGGGAAGCCAGTTTCTTTGTGTCCCTCCACCTTCTACCTCAATCTCTCTTTTTGGGATCATTCTAAGAATGAAGCACTTGATCCCAGAAATAAAGACAAGCTTGTGTTAAAATTTCCAGTGTTTTGCTGGGTTTCTTTTAGCTATAAGCGAAAGAAAACTTAACTCAGAATCCTTTAAGAAAAAAAAAAAGATAACATGACACCTTAATAGTAAATTCAGGAATAGGCTTGTTTCTGGTGCTAGACCAGGACTCATGTAATGGCCCCAGATTCATTATATGCTGTTCTCTCTGTTCCATTCCTTTTTATTCCTATGTAGACTTTCTTCTCATTCCTCCATTTGTTTTCCCTCTGACAGTGATATTACAGAAAGAGATGGTGATGGGAAATAGATGTCCAAACAATGAAAGGTAACATAGTTTGAAATGTGCGATGATAGATGTTGTGTGGTTGAACAGATTACTGGAGATCAAGTGGTTCCCAGTAATGGGTGGCCTTGCCTTTCCCAGAAATGGCTTGGTAGAGGAATTCAGCTGAGAAATCATCAGTATTGCCTCTGCAGCTAAGCTGGGCATTGTGCAGAGAAAAGTCACCATGGGCAGACAAAGGAGGCAGAGCCCATGCCCCTTGGCCTTTCCAG